TGTATTCTTATTTTCTTTTAATTTGTTAAGGTGCATGCCGCAACACAAATTGTGCCATCATGCGAGGTTGATACCCAAGATCAGCAGAAGTAGCCCTCAAAAGTGGATGATATCTGTGCTCCAAAAAAAATCGCTGTTTTCCGCTTATTTTAATGGCGTACAGATACTGTCCGAAACCAAAGAAGAGCCTGTTTCTGCAAAACTTGTTAAAATCTATGCTGATATTGACAACTTTGATCTTAGATATGGTCGTTTATCATTAGATGCGAACATTTTGCAGTTTTTTAACGACATGAAGCTGCAGTCTCCACACCTATGTGCGCTCGCTGGCTGTACCTGCGACTCAGGTGTCTGTCAAAAGGGCATTTTCAGCGCTTCATTTCATTTTGAGCGAAAAACGTAGTTCTTTAAGTGCAGAAACTTTAAATTTGTTATTAGTTGTTAAGCTTAACCAAGAATAAATAATAATATATATAATATATATGTACAGTGGCGACCAAAAGTGAGTGCATGTTCAATAAACTGACCTCGTCACCCATAAAACATCAACGAAACAAGATAATCAAACAAACTTTTTCATTTTATAATTATCATTTAATTCTTAACAAATAGCAGTAAACAACAATAACATATGAGATAAGTTAAAAAAGTTTTAAACTAAAAACCAAAATAGCCCGCATAAAATCACTTTTGCACGTTTTATGACTTGCACCTATTTTCGCTCTCCCACTTCTCTTATCAGCAAAATCAGGCAGATTCATGTTTATGTTTCTTCTTATGCTATTCTTATTGCTCGTAGTGCAGTTTAAAACGTGTTTCGCGCGAATCAGAGCAAAATTTATCAATTGCTATCATATTAAAAATAAATTGCTGATATTTTGGATAATGATAATGAGAAAAATATCTACAGAAATTGAAAATAGTGTTGTGTGCCTGACCGAGAAGGACTGTTTTTCGCGTACTATTTCCGAGAGGCTTGGTATTAGCCAATCGGCTGTGATCGGAGCTCAAAATAGACGAAATGTGACGCCCAAACCGCTAGTGAAAGGTCGCAAAAAATTATTGATGGACTCAGATGCTCGCCTAATGATGTCTGAAATGAGAAAAAACAAGCTGCTAACACCAAAGGGTGCTTCTCTGGCCATTAACAAAAATGTTAAGAGAGCCTGGAGCCAGCATGAAAAATATGAGTGCCAAAATTTCGTATGTCGTATTGTCTTTGGTACGACTGTCCCGTTCGACTTCCAAGAAATGTCCAAATGTATTAGAGCAGGGGTCGGCACACAACTCACACATTTTTTTGGTGCGTTTGTGTGCGAAGACAACAGACACGAAGTCAAATACGTTAGTTATTTCTCTGCCGCTGCGAAAGCCGAGGAATTGTGCATAGGGCACACGAATGCTTCTCTGCCGCTGAGCCAAGCGAGCAGAATATGAAGCCGTTTGTGCTGTACGTGTGCTGACTGCGCTGCCCGAAATTTTTTCCTATGCACAGTGCATACGATGCTGCCGGCCTCTGTATTAGAGCCCTGCATGAACAACGGGCAACCGAATCGAATTCGCTTAGTCCGATCCGATTGAATCAACGATTCATCTTTCTTAAAGCTTCGATACACAAATTTGCTGATTTTTTTCTTTGCCCTCTGTCTAAAAACTGTAGTCGTGTGATGAAGGGAGGGAGAGTGTGCGAGCGAGACAGAGAATGAGTAGAGGGTCTCTTGCTGGAGGAGGTGGGGGAAGAAACTGAAAATTAATTTCTTCATTCTGTTTTTTTGTTTTTTTAATTTTTGTTAAATATTTACACCCAGCACTTCTATTTCTATGAACATCAGTTTGTATAGGCATTTTTCTTAAGTCATGTAAAACAAGAAGATGGAATGCAAATGCAATAGGATTTCTTCTTCTTTTAATGCAGACATTCCAGGATTTCTAAAAAGGCATCACTTAAACTTGGAATACTGGAAGTGCATCAAAAACAGTCCTGAAAGTGGTGAGGTTCGACACTACTATTTACAGTTGTGTGTAATGAAATATTAGTGCCGCACCTCACTACTTTCAAAACTCTTTTTGAGATATTTCTAGTTCTTCAAATTGAACAAGTGATACCTTTACGGAAAGCCTGGAATGTAAGCATTATAAACTTGATGAAACCCCGTTACATTTGCATTCCATCTTCTTGTTTTTCATGACTTTAGACAACTACCCATGATATCTGCTGTTCAATGAAATAGCAGTGCTGGATTAAATTAATTTTTTTAAATGAAAAAACAAAGCAAATTAATTTAAATAATTAATAATAATCAATTTAGATATCGAATAATTTGATGAAAGAAAGTGTTGGAAATTGCGGTACTTTTGATTTTGAAGCGTTGAAGAAATCATTGCTCGGTCCAGAATAGGAGACCTAAGAGTTAAACTAAAAACTTAAGGCAGGAGGTATAATGGGATTAAAAACTAAGTTGTATGCACTCTCACTATTGTGTTTAATTAATTAACTATAAGAAGTAGACTGAAAATCGATTTTGTATTCGAAAGCAAGAAGTCCCAGAAATTTCCGCGTTTGGGTCTGAGAGTACATGGGTGCACGACTTCAGTTAGGAAAAACGCATGTGGAATGGCCTCTGTCACAGTGAAAAAAATACTTTTGACTAATGATAGTAAAGTTGTATTATATGGTAAGATAGGCTCAAAAGAATAGGCTTGGCATACATAGAAATCCGATTACCTCTTAAAATCATAAAATATATAGCATGCTAGGCTGAGCCTTATGGGGCCCAGCTCATATGAGCTAGTACTTTCTGGCCTGGCGTTTGAGTATAGTGTGGTTTTGAGCGAAACTGTGTATGTAGGCATACTTAAGAATACATTACATTCATATTACAGTTGAAAAATTACTGCTAAAAGGATATTTTAACCGGATAATGACTTGAAACACCCATAAAAGCTCGCTAGGAATTAATTGTTATCGGAAAAGATCGACGTTTTTCCATGGACAATGTCCAACTGGATATTAATCTCATCGAAATCTTATGGGGGAATACCAAATACATTGTTGCAACTGCAAATTCGTTAACCAGAGTCAAGTTTTAGCAAGTGGTTCATGGATTATTGGCTCAAATCCTATTGAAGCGTTGGCAAGAGATTAATGACCCATGTTCGGCCGGTGCAAGTTCGAAATGAAAACCAAATTGATTAAACACTAAATACTAAAGCTCAGGAAACATGAAATATATGTTTTTATTTGAGATTCGTTGTTTTTTCAATGTTCTAAAAAAACACTACCTTTTCATTGAACAGCAAATTTCATGGAATTCAAATGTATTGATATTTCTTCGGTTTTTTAATGGTAACAGTCAAGTCTATTTAAAAAGGTATCATTTGTTCAATTTGGATAACTGGAAGTGTCTCAAAAAGATTTTTGAAAGTGTTGAGGTGCGGCACTTCTATTTCATTGAACACAACTCCACAGGACCATTTTCTTTTAGGCTCTGAAATGTTACCGTCTTCGTCGATGCTTTGGAGCGACACAGATGGGACTCAGCCGAAAATTGGTTCTACAAGTCAAACAATGTTATGAGCTCTTTGGATTAAATGAAAATACGCTTCTAAAAGAGAATTTTCAAGAGCTGTCAAATACTTAATTTTAAAGAGCATTTAATTTTACGAGATATAACCACTCAAAGTTGAAATTAAATTCTTATTCGCTTATTAATTTAGCAAGCTAAAATGGGCGATGGCCCCATCGTGCGGCGCTGTCTTGAGTTGGCTCTGCTTTTCGCTGACGAAGGCATAGAAAAGATAATTAAAACCCCGCGCGCTCCCTCTGTCCATGGGGCCTAGCGAAAAATCCCGCCATAGAACAGCTTTTTGGTCGCTCATGCTCTTGGTGTTGTATAGTATTTGACTACATTAAAAAAAAATTTCGAAATATATAGCTAATATTGAAATAAATAGATACATATATATGCACTTATCTTCAAATTAGTTTAGTGCATTTTAATGTTTCAATCTATAATTTCAAGGAATACGATACCAGTTTTATAGCAAGCTGCGTATGTATACACATTCATGCTACATACCAGTGGCTCACAGCTTAAAGCATTCAGTTTCTTTAAACATGTTTGCAGGTTTTATGCATAATAACAAAAGTAGGAGTTTGATGATACTGAGATTCGTATAATTCTAATTCGTGTTAACAAGATTACACGAATAACTAAGAAAATGTATTTCAGTGCAATTACTTGATTATAACTTTAATATTCAAATTATATTAATATCTAGTATATCCATTTTAGTTTCTGGGAAAAGTTTGTATGTTTATACTAGTGCATATGTATGTATGTGATCAAAAATGCTTGACTTTAAAGTTAAAAATGGTGGTCGCACGACGCCTTCAAGAATATGCATGTATTCACATATGTATGTATATGTACTTACATATTCCAACCGTCAGAAATTGCTTGCACAGCAGAAATTCATGTTGAGTTTATTATCAAGCGCTTCGCGACTTTTCTTATAGTGGAAAATATTATAAGCGAAACCTTGATTTGATGTTACAACTTTGATGTTTTTGGATACTTAAAGATGCATGTCATATGTAAAGCAATTTACAGTTTGAACTTTTACGAAACACGAACTTACAATTTTTGAATAAATCGGATATGTTGTTTTTTTCATATTTAAATATGTACTTATCCAAATATGATTTTGCATATGTTTTAACTTTTAAGTACATGTGAATATATACACAAGCAAATCCGTACAATCCGTAATTTCACCAGATACGACAGAAATGTTCGACAGGTAACTACACATATATTTAGAATAGCGGGAATCCAATATATATGATCATGTACTATGAATAATTTTAATTTAAGTTTGAATATTCCGGGTACTGGCGTATATAGTATACGCACACCAGGTCGCAAATACCAACGTATGCTCCGAATATGTACAAACTTAGATTTCATAACGATCTAGGGATAATCAATTCTACATACCGGCTCCTCTCTTTTATCAGTTTTACTAGACCCTGGCTGGTCAAAAGATGCATCTAATGTCCCATATGGACGTCTATGTCCACGCCCCTGATTTTCCGACATTTCGTTAATAAGAAACTGGACTAAAATGGACCGAACTGATGCCGACAAAGTTTTGAAATGATCGCCAAGTTTTGAACAGTGTGACCGAAGACTTATCGCTCAAATACACCACATGACCCTTAGAAATATACTGATATAAACTTTCTCATTTTTTAAATATACCGAGGAACGAACTCAAACCTCTTCAGCCAAGTACTTAGTTCCGAAAAAAGTTTGCTCGCAAAACGTGTCATACATTTTGCTAGCGGCCGAGTGTGCTCTACGGTTACAGTCAGTAAGATGTGTTTTGTAAAAAAATTTGTTTGAGCTACACAAAGTTTATGAAATGCACTTCTCTTAACTTAGTACTGCTCGGCGTACAGTTGCTAGAAAACACTTTGATGCTCGAAGAAATTTCTTCTCGGTTTCATACGACTATCATCCCAGATTTTGCTATCATACACTTTTTTCGGATCTGAGTACTAGATTTTAAAGCCCAATACTCAGATCAGCTGAATTTGTTTTGGACAAAAAGTGCCATATAAGTATGTCGCTCGAGGCAAAGTGTGACCAACATTTGTTTTGTGTTTTTGTTTAAGAATAGAATAGGATTAAATTTCAAATTTTTTACTAAAGCAGAAATTTTTTCTTTGTGCGCGCTGTGGAGCTGCAGGAGCTCCTTGTAGCTCCACTTCCTTTCTACTTACAAAAATATTACCACGATGGGCGTTCTTTGCCCATGATCGGAAATCATGTTCTGCGATTTTTATATTCGAGCTAGTATTACTAACTAGCTAAGGCTCTCAGCAGGCTCCGGTTTTCACATCCACTTTGCGCTTTACTATTCAGCAAAAAGTCATTCTTTTCAATTCAAGGCGCTCTGGAATCCACTTTTGTGAATTAGTTTACTCTGTGTACTGTTAAGCGCCAAATTTACTCCTATTATACCCACTCGTTAGTGCCAGCTCATACAAAAAGGCCTCTGTTATGTTTAACAGAGATTTATCGATATCCAAATCGCTGTTAAGATGAATTCACATATTTTTTTTGCCCTGACCAATTTTTTCAGATCTAATTTTGAGTATGTTTTATATAAAAATTATTTATAAAAAGGGCACAAGCTCAATTGCACTGGTAATGGAGTAAAATTCATTCCTTTTGCAATTAAGATTTGTTTAGTTGTATTAAAAGCCGTTTACTTTTCATTTCGGTGAGGAATTTGTTGCCGTGTTTGAAAACGGAAAAGTCTTCCGTTTTAAGAGGGCGGGAGCGCCTGACTTTTCGTTTTGAAAAGTAAATCACATTTTTTGTGAGAATGAAAACCGGAGCTTGACTGAATATATAATTTTATGGGATATATAAATACATTTTCTACAAGATTGGCTAACTTTGAGGAACCATATCGATTAGATTATTTTTAATTTAAGGTTTAAACAAAAACGGCCAAATCATAAACGTAAGTGTGTATGGAATGAAACAGTTTCAGCTATGATTATGGACATTGGTATACCCAATTTTCTTTAATGGTGCTATGATATTAGACTTAACTAACTGACTGGCTGCAAAATATAGAGAGAGATAGATAACGAAATACATCAGCATGGCTTTCCAGTTGCAGCAGAACTTATCGATTATTTTACTTTGCGAATTCGAACTTATAATATGCGAAAATGTGAATGGTCAAACGCCCAAAACCATCCACAAAATATTTTTTTCAGCATTTTTCTTAGCTTATATGCTATTTAATTTACAATGTTAATAGCAATAAAAACTCTTCAATATTTGCTTCTGAAGATAAATTATTTGAATGGAAATCAGAAGACCACAACACGTCATATTTTGCAAGATCAGCTATCTGGTCGAAATAAATATTGGGACATAATTATGGTTTAGGTTGTATTACAGAGTAAGAATATTCCCTAACAACTTGAGTTTTATTTTTGAGCAAAAAATATAACTCAAAGAATAATGATTTTTTTTGAGTTGAAAAGTATAACTCAAAATTAATTATTATGTTGTGAATAATTTAAAAAAAAAAATTAATCATTATTGTATAATTTTTTGAATAAAACTTATAATAATTACAGTCCCTTGTTTTGACTGCTTCTCAATTTCTGAAAAGGCCTTGCATAAGTATAATTGTAGAAATAAAGTCAATACTTTTATGTAAAATATTAATTTTATCCAAGTAACTTTCTTAATTATTATGTTTTAATTATTAACGGCAAACACGTGCAGCGTGCTTTTCTGACTCTGTACAAAGCAAACGAACATTTTGTCACACTTTCGATGCTAATTTTCGAAAGAACCGTTCAAATCTAAGTAAAATCAGTATAGCATTGTAAAGTTTGGACAATCAGCTGTCCATAAAGTCAGTTGTTGTTTGAACATTTTAAGATTCATTCTTTGATTTTTAGCCTATGGCAGCATCCACTGTGCAGTGTCTTAGTTGTTCGACTGAAATCCCGTAGACGTGTCTATAGACGGCTACGAACACTTATTTAGGATTTTTTCTCTAATGATATCTCTCTCTCGTCACAGCAAAAGTTACCAATATCTAATGGTGGATGGTGCACCGATGTGGCTATCTAAGAGAGCACCCACGAAAATCCGCTCGCAAACAATCCGCCCAAGTATACGCAGTGACAATCCTTTGAGTGCCGATCAATAGTAACACAGTGCCACAGTACCATTAAGTAAACGTTAAACTAGTGCAAACAACAACAGAATAACGACATGGAATCTCACAGCGAGGAACAACCAGGCGAGTTATAGCCCAGGGGCAATTTACCAATGCAGGGGTCAACATTGACTGGATCCACAAACTCCGTCGGGACGATCTGGGAGCTCTCGCCGAAGAATTCGGATTTGGCAGCGAAGGAACGGTCTAGGAGCGACGAAAGAGATTTGCCGCATTCGTCGACGGGCCATTCGTCCAGGACGCCTGGATTCAACTGGTAGACCTTGAACGGCAATACGCCAGACCAGCAAGACGCTCCAGTTTACCCAACCCACCACTCCTGGGCCATCAGACAAGCGGAAAATGGACCCCAAGGTCGGATTACAAATCCCCGCAGCCACAACATACAGCAAGCCCGGCCCACCCATCGTCGTGATGACAACAGAATTTCCAAGGCCTCCAGTTACGGAGACCAGCCGTTCGTCCACGCAGAGGATCGTGTCAGCAATCGACCAACACATGGAGGGATGCCTGCACAGCCACGGAAATGGAGAATCCGGTTCGACGGACAGGACCCCTATAATTTCTGGAGCTACTCAAAGAACGCGTGCTCTCGTACACAAATCAGCTGCCCCTTGCCATGACCGTACTTCTCACCGATCGGGCTAGTCGCTGGTACCGCACCAGTCAGCTGCAAGGCAGCTCATGTGTATATTTCCGCCAGGCATTTTTGACGTTCTTCCTGCCACCATGGTATTTCGAGCAATTGGAAGACCAGCTCCGAGCCCGCAATCAGGCGGTGGGCGAACGGTGGTGGTTCAATGATTTTCTAATCGAGATACGTCTACTCATGCACACACCGCGACAATTTGATCCTCCAGATCAACATGGAGGCGGAGGACATTCTTCACCCGAGATTCGGGAAGATGACGTGGAGCGCAGGGCGCGTGGGGCACGTCTACATACGTCTCAAAATGTGCCACCCCGAGGACAAATATGCGCACACCCTTCAGACAGGAGAGGTGGAGAAGGGTCTTGCGCTGGACGATTTGGAGGTGGACCTGACGATAATTGTCAACCCATTGAGTGCAGCTGAGCCAGACACCCGTCACGCTGAGTATGCTGACGCTCAACTTGCATAAGAGCAAAATAGCGTCGGCGGAGCTCCCCATTTCAAGCAAGAGAGCAAGGGCCCATCGACATAGCTTTGGTCCAGGAGCCCTGGATTGCCTCAGGCAATGCAGTGGCCAGACTAAAGTCCTTAAACTACAATCTACTCTACTACTAGCAGGAACACAACCGCCGTGTGTTTCCTCTTCAGAGAACTACCATCTTGCAGCGCTGAGGGAGCTTAGTAAGCGTAAAGGGCCACCAGAAAGGCCACCCAAGCCGGACAGGTCATGGGGAAGCGTTTTAAAAGTTAAGGTGCAGGGAGTCGGAGACCCAGTACCGGCGGTGAGTGCGGGTGCGAGCGCACACCCCCCGGACTGCAGGAAACCCGAAATGGCAGTGGAGTGCTTGGCTGCCAAATTGCTTAATGCCACAAGCAACAGAAGGATCCGCAGACAGAAAGGGACGATAGAGAATCTGGAACAGGGAACCACAGACGGAAGCTTCGTCTTCACTGGTCCCTTAGAGTCGGAGGCAGAGTTGGCTACGGCCCCGGAAAGGAGCCTCAAGAAGCACGTGCAAAACGTGGGGAGGTACGAGCGGCTTAATTAAGTCGATCCTACCAGCGGAGACCAAGCCCCCAAGCGCACACGCGGCGGTGATTGAGGACCCTAAACCTTCAGCGTCAGCATCAGCTGGCACGAAGACGTAGGTGGACCAACCTTTAACGTCATCGTCTGCGAACGCGCGAGGGAGAAAGGCGAAAAAGGTGTCCGGGAAGCAGAGGGGGAAGACCACACCTCCGACGCAGGTACCTAGGCACCACCAACGCCTCTGTACAGAAAGCACCGGTGGAACCGACTTCCGAGCCGAAGAAGGCGAAAGCAGAGGACATTCTGGCCAGCCTAGGATCGCCGGCCGAGCTGCGGGTAGCCATCATCGACCGCAGATAGCAGATAGCCCGTTTGTTTGCGAGTGCATGGGTATCAAGTGGTATAAGGGAGCCAAAGCAGTGGCCTGTGGCTATGCAGAATCTCTTGAGTTTCTCAAAACCACAGTCCAAGGTTGTGGTGAACTTTGGCCAGGAGCGGCACTCTGAGTAGTCCCCACGGATCAGATTCCCAGGAGAACGATCAAGAAGGTGTAGATTCCTCCCCCGATCAAGGCGGATGAGGACACACACGTTCTAATCAAGGCACAGAACCGGATCCTGGAGACATCTGACTGACCATCACAAGGGCGATAGCGCGAGACAAGGGGAATGGCAAGGAAATCTGGATCAGTATTGGTCAGGA